ATATACTCTGCAAAAATAGAAACGCATAATGGATTTCTAAGAATTTTAATACATGTATTTTGAATGGAAATTTTACAGCTACTAACAAAGATATTCACTCAAAAAGTGTTTGATTGAGAAGAGGACAGCCAATTCCTTCGAGATTGATGAATAAAAGTCGATTTATCACAATTAGAGTTACTTCTGATGCCATTAAAGTAAGTACCGTGTATGACCACCTCTCGCTGCTAAGACTGTTACGCATCTCCTCGGCATGAGTGCTATCAATGTTCTAATGTTGTTGCGTGGAATTGCTCGCCATTCCTGTTGCAACATTTGTCGGAGCTGATCAAGGGTCTGAGGCAGGGGTTGACGCTGGCGCACACGTTTATCAAGTTGGTCCCATAGATACTCAATAGGATTCAAGTCCGTTGAAGGCCAAGGTAGCACATTGATGTTATTTATCTCTGTACCTTTGCAGTGGCGGATCCAAAAATTTTCATAAGGGGGCCCACTGACTACATAAGAGGGACCCGCTCCAATCTTGCTTCAGTGATTCCCTAAATAATCAACCAAATATTTCCCATAAAAGGGGGGCCCGGTTCAGCCAGTCTGCTGGTATTGGTTCAAAAGTCGCGAAATTGTGCTCTGGTTAACATTTTCAGTTCTTGCTACTTCCCTTTGTGACAATCCGGCATGGAGACGGCCGATGACGATATTTCGAATAGCAGGGTCCAACTTTGGTATGGCAGGGTTTTAACGTTGTGATGAATTAAATCTTCATAATTGGTCCTTGTATGCGCAAAAGTGTAACAGTTGAGTTGACCACAAATTCTCGTGAAAAACGTTAGCAAAATTTCGCGGCGAAAAATGTCATGCACTTTTAACGAGTCGCAAATTTCATGTGGCAGAGCGCCAAATCAAAAGAACGGCCATTTAAAGTTTAAAACTTACCTTGTAAAAATTCGAAGATGTAATAGACCGTTTTATTTTACCTTGTAAAAGTTGTATTTTGCATTTTGAAAAATTCATCCGAGCTATGCGTTTCTTTTTTTGAACAGTATACATGTATATCATAGAGCGGGAACTCCCTTGTTACGTTACATTAAGGGCATACGATACAGAAGAGATCCCTCGTTGATTTTTTCTTGAAATTTTGGTACAAGGTCAATTTCGATGTGTACTTTTCAAATATGCAAAGAAAAATATACCTTCATGACTTTCTTTTTGAGATAATGTGGTTCGAAATTTGCATATTTGAAGCGAAAACCCTGAAATTTCATAAAAAAGGACTTTTAAGGAAAGTTACAATACTTTTGAACGAACAGTCATAACTTAACCGGGTTTTTTGTAAAATGTTCCCTTGGTCCATGGCATGACCATTCTGTAATAAGTTTAAAGTTAAACCAAATAATTATTTCAGAATTAACATTACTATTAGTGAAATAAAGAAATTGACAATATTTTTGCGTCTATTCAGAAGTGCAGAAAAAGTTCGATCGTTGATTTTTTCTTAAAATTTTGGCGGAGCGTTCTTTAAACATTATTTGATTGATTGCAAAAGAAAAAACTGGGGGTCCATGTGCTTGTTTTTTCAATAAAAGCAATAAACCTTGATTTTGTAATGACAAACCAATAGGTTGCCAATAGGGCGCTAAACTACGTTGAAATAAGTTTTAATCGCAATAACGTCGTGAAATCATTCCCGCCGTTCACGATTACGCTGTCAAGTTCATTGGTATAGCCAAGGTTTTTTTTTCGAAAACAATGAAACAATGTATTAATCATCAAAATTTCAAAGCTGGTTACTCGTAAAATAGCATAACATATTTTCCAAACTTTTATGAATTGTTACGAAACTTGGATACAAAAATAAAATACTTTTAGAAAAGAAAGGTGCGGAAACAAAAAAGATGAATCTGATAAAAAAAAAATTTGCATCTCTGTCCGACATTTGTCCGTCAACTCATGTAGACAACACAGCTTGGGCATAATTTTAATTATTCAAATAGCCCCGACATGACAAAATATGAAACAATTATAAAGTAAGTGGGATACTATAAAGATAAGGACAGTTGGTACCATTGCCAATGAGAACAACTATCAACCATAGTTCAAATTACGAAGATAAACGAAATTAAAGGTCACCGTACGGCCTTCAACAAAAAAAAAAGCCACACTGTAAAGTCAGCTTTAAAAAGCCCCGACATAAAAATGTTATCAATTTAAACAAGAAAACTAACGGCCTACTATATAGGCATTATATGAACACAATACCATACCCACATTAACTCGGGTCAGCTTAGAACTACTCTGAACATGTTTAAAAAGTGAATATTTAGAGCTGTTTCGAGCAAATTCATGTCGTAATTATCTCAATATAGTCCATTACGGTGTAGTTTAACATTTCATAGGAAGTACAGCAGTCGGTATTAGAGCATGAAGTTGTATTATTCTGTATCAATAGATAAGTTGCGTAAGCTTGTCTTCAGGGTATTTCTCTACCCCTCCCCCCAATTCCGTTGGGGGGGGGGGGGGGTATTGTTTTACCCCTGTTTGTATGTCCGTCCGTCCTTCTGTCTGTCATTCCGTCTATAATACGGGGCTTATAACTGTGTCTTTTTAACTGACAGTTCTTTTTCATACACATATACACATATATATTCCACTGGGTTAAAATTCTAAAAATGCCGTTTAACTTTTTAGTGTACTTATTCAAAGTCAGGAACAGTATTGGGCGTTGTCTTTATTTATCATGCTATTTGTCATTTTGTTGATAGTCTCTGTTAAATTTATCTGTAAAATTTTCCATACGATTTAGAGTTTGCAAAATGGTGTAGATACTATGTTTTGATCAAGACAGTACGTTGATATCTAAATTACTTATTGGGCTTTTTGTGTAATTGGATTTCTGTCTCATCGATGTATTATTATTTACCTATCTTTTATTCATTTCCTATATGAAATAAAACGCATACAAAATTATGAATGTGGTTTGATTTTTTTCACATTTCAAGTTAATACTGTTGACCTCATTATTAATGAATAAATATAACAATTTTCTCGTGATATGGCCGTTTTTCTTAGCAGGTACTTTGTTTCAAATTCGCGCAACCGGAATTATGACGTGATATGGCCGATTTTCTTAGCAGGTACTCTGTTTCAAATTCGCGCAACTTGAATTATGACGTCAGTGGATGTGACTACATTTAACTCGACGTCGCGAAATATAATCGTTCTTATTAGAAACTTCGCGAAATTACAACGTTCTGATTAACAACGTCGCGAAAACAACACGAAAAGATTTGAAAACGTTATTATCTGCCCCTGCTACTGTATCGTATTCCCTTAAGTTCATGTGTTGTTCGTTGTTGCCTTTACTTCTGCGGAGCTGGATATTGGTGGTTGAAATGCCTAGTCTGTTGAAAAGAGCAGAATTTTTGGCGAATCCTGTTATGCATTTGAACTATTATTTTATGTTTTTTTAATCACTCTGTAATGTTTATGTCATGTTGTTATTAATGTCATGCTCTTAATGGGCCCTTTAATTTGGAAAAATAAAAATATTGTATTTGTATTTGTATTGTAATTGGTATTGGTATTGGTATTGGTATTGGTATTGGTATTGGTATTGGTTTGTATTGTATTGTATTGTACTGTACTGTACTGTACTGTACTGTACTGTACTGTATTGTATTGTATTGTATTGTATTGTATTGTATTGTATTGTATTGTATTGTATTGTATTGTATTGTATTGTATTGTATTGTATTGTATTGTATTGTATTGTATTGTATTGTATTGTATTGTATTGTATTGTATTGTATTGTTATCCCTTTTTAATATTGTATAAATTCTTCTACTCGAAAAATAAACTGATTTTCCTATGTTTTGGTAGCTCATTGAATAACTAAAATAGATACAGTTATGTTTACTTCATGTGCTTGGTTCTTGTGTTGTTCTATTGCACCACTGTCTCAGGTTATGGGGACGGTTGGGCGCCATCAAACTAGTTTAACCCCGCCACATTCTGTACGTGCCTGTCCCAAGTCAGGAGCCTGTAATTCAGTGGTTTTCGTTCGTTGGTGTAATAGAAAAACGAAGGAAATGGGGTATTTGTTTTTCGTGCATTGTTTTGTACATGAATCAGGCCTTTATTTTACTCATTTGAAATGTTTTTTATCTGTCATTTCGGGACCTTTTTAAGCTGACTATGCGGTATGTGTTTTGCTCTATGTTGTAGGCCGTACGGTGACCTATAGTTGTTTACTTCAGTCGTTTGGTATCTGGTTGAGAGTTGTCTCATTGGCAATCATACCACATCTTCTTACTTTATATTTACATCTAGAAATTGTCATAGAGGGTCGGTTCAGACAGAAGCAATGAGGTGATTTTCCCAGTGTGCCCTTTCAAGACCGAATTGTTACATTTGACATAGACACACAATACATTTGGAACAAATACTCTGTTACTGAAAAAGGTGTTTTTGAAAATTATGAGAGGAACAAAATAAACCATTTAAAGATATCAGTGCCGAGCTACTTATTTATACTGAAGCTATAACACGTCATGATGTCTTAATCTACCAAATTTTAAAAGAAAGAGATATTTTGTGCAATTTCGAATTTATGTCATGTCACTTTCCTTCACAATACGTGCTTCATTTAGGGGGATAAAAAATAAGTTGATATAATTGTAGCAATATTTTGCTGCAGTATAAAAACAATATTAGACCAATGTCAGAAAACTATCAAATTAGTGTATTTTTCTGACATTCACCTAGTATTTTAATATAATGTATCTTATAGATATAAGAAGATGTGGTATGAGTGCCAATGAGACAACTCTCCATCCAAGTCAAAATTTATAAAAGTAAACCATTATAAGTCTTAGTATGTATCTTAGTAGCTTCTTGATTTTGACGTGACCATTTAAAGTTTGTTTGTCAGGAATTTCAACAGAGAAATTTTAGTATTGAGCATCTCCTTGTATTGGATTAAAAATGTTATCGAGTCTATATACTAGTATTTATTCTTTTGTGTGATATAAAGAAATGTTTTTGTCCATGCAATAATGAAAGTTAAATCTTTATCGTCAATAAAGTCTCTCTGGTATAGACTTTCATATGCCTCTTTCATACTGTCAAAACTACTGTTTGATAGCAAGTCGACCAACTGAAGGCTCTTTTCGTACAAACTGAACTCTCCATTAAAGTCAGCAATAATTGTATGGGCAGTTCTTTGGTGGTTAACATAAGCTTTGGCGAACACCAAAGACAGACCAGTCTTGTGAAAAAAGTAGTCTGCTATATAGCTTCTCCATATATCACTTACCCGTCCATTTACACTTAAAGGCAATGCCATGTACATAAACGCATGTGGAAACCACATTGTTGCCTGAGCATTAAAGGGTGCATATTTGTTCTTTGGTAAAACAATGTATCTTTCAGTAGTGAAATTGAAAGGGAAGTCATGTGTGAGACGATATATAGCATCAACATCTGCTTGACCATTAGCTAGTGACTGTATTACACCAAGATTAATTCGTTTGTCTATTTCACAGACTTCTGGGAATGTCTTCTTGTCTTTTATGCTTTGCAATGGAAACCCTCTCGGCCAAACACGAATATGCGGCTGAACAAAATACGGATAGGGATTAAAAAGATTGGTACCCATCTCTTTACAGCTTTTTGCATATTTTGCAGAATCAAAATCGCTCAAGTCTACAATCCCTTCGTTATCGTCATCGAAATCCCATATGACTTTAGCTTTATGTTGAATAGCATATATATATCCTATGTTTTTTCGTCCAAAATGTCTTAAGGGTATAACGTCCGAAAGCATAGGGTATAAAAGTTGCTGCTCTTGCACAGAAAGATATTTAATTTTCTCTTTATTGTCTTTGGTAATATTTGTTACGAAGATATTTTTTGATGGCGTGATGACATCAGCCACAATAACAAGACACCAATTGGACAACTTTGAAATGGAGTGAATGGCTTTTGTCGGAGGAAATATTGTTGTTACCACAGCCCAATTATCACAGGTACTAAAATTGTCGTGATATGCCAAAGCCATGTTGTTCGGTTCGAAAGTAGAGGAAAGAGTTCTTACCACTTTCCCGGTGAAACTTAATCCGGTAACAGAACCAATACTAGATACTTTTGAAGCAGATGTATTATTTTCATTATAATTTTGTAACTGTTGCATTCCGTCAACTGAGGTTTTGTGAATGACTAGTTTTTTCTCGCAAAGGTTTGACTTTATTGATTTCATATTAAGAAATGGACGTTTACCGAATGATGTTTGAATCATTCTTCTATTGTCACCATGCAAGTAAATGTCTGTATAATCAGAGAGCCACGCGCCAAGTGATGTTCCTCCATAGTTTGTATCGATTAGCATACCTTTCGAGCAGTTTGTGCTATGACAGTAACGCCTATTTGATACTCTTGTAATAATAGTTTTCCCAAAGACAACAAAATACTCATCTATTCTTACTGATTTTGAAATTTTCTTGCCAGTTCCATGCTTCCAGCCGTAATACAAATTAACAGATTTTACATCGTTTAACCTTTCAAATATCCGAGGTACACACAGAAAAGCATCATCGTCTATTTTTGCACCAAGTAAAGCATCTGGAAAATTTTTATGAATATGTTTTATCCACGTGTACAATTTTTTTCCAAATTTAAAAGCTCGTCCTGTATCCGTTATATTTAAAAAGAGGATATCTTGATAAATATTATTTTCCTTTAATGTGTCTTTTGTTGCCTGATCAAGTAGAAATTTATATGTTATTCGAAACGGCAGGTCATTTTTCATTTTAATCATGGTATTAATCCACGTGTTTCTCGAGGCTTCTCTAAAATTATTATTTAGTGGGACACTAAGTATTCCCATAACCAAGTGAGGACGACGGTCATATCCTTTGTGACCACTTGTCGTTATAACCTGGTTTAGTGTGTGTCGTGGTCTGTTTAAGTTTGGTAAGAACTTCAATGAAAGACTGACGAGAAATAAGGACAAAATTATCTTCTTTTGATGTTGCCTTGCACTGGAAAACATCCTGCTTAAAAATACCCTTCTTTTAAATAAACATCTGAAAAAAAAATGAAATGAACGTTTTAAACAAAAAGGATATTTCCTTTAGTTGTCAATAGGTAAGGAATATCAGGGAGGGTTTGACAGATGAAGAGATAAGCCATTTCATGGACTTTGTTATGAGTCCATTCATAATGACGGATTCACCATACGGAGAGACACATCTCAAAATTTCATCAGGGGAGGTGTTTCGTGTACCAAAACTATATTGAACAGTATGACAACTCGTGTTATTGAACAGTTTGAATCCTATTGTAAAGATACACATTTTGGTACAACAGCTAGTTCAAGATCTTATTTGAGAATATTTGATTCAGTTGAACCAAACATTAGATAGTGCATGAAGGGGCTGGACAACTATGCTGCTGGTGGAGCAAAAGCATTTAAAGATCTTAAAAAAGTTGCAGAGTTACTTGGAAAACTGTAGAAGGGACCACTATCCATTAGTCTTTGACCCTTGGAAAGCAATACCTCAAATTAGAAACAAGGTATTTATTATTTTTGGAGTGTTAAAAATTCTTTAGAAGTTTTAGATAAAATACATGCTTTTGATGGTCCTTTTAATTCTGTTGACAGTTATAATTTTTCTACTCTCTATACTACACTTCCACACAATCTTATCAAGAAAAAGTTTTCATATTTAATTAAATAGTCTTTTGAAAAATTTCATTGCAAATTTGTTTGCTGTAACTCGTTTAAAGCCTTTTTCTGTAACGAAAAAGGAAAGTATGCTAGATACACTTACTGGAAATGTGAAGATATGATTGAAGCTTTAAATTTTCTCCTGGACAACATATATGTACGTTTCGGCGATAAAGTGTATCGACAAGTAGTAGGTATTGCTATGGGCACTAACTGTGCCCTTTAATAGCAGATTTATTCCTGTATTGCTATGAATATCAGTTTATGACCAAACTCAGTAAAGACACGTCATTGTTACATTTGGTTGATACATTCAACAATACCTTCCGTTATCTAGATGATATTTTTTCGTTAAATAATCCAGAGTTCTCTAAATGTACTACCGAAATTTACCCAATAGAACTTACTTTAACTAAATCTAACATAAACAGCAGTAGTTGTCTTTTTCTGGATTTGGACATTTCAATCTCTAAAGGAAAACTCCATACGAAAATTTACGACAAAAGAGACGATTTTTCATTCCCTATTGTTAATTTTCCTTTTTTAGACGGCGATGTTCCTTTGGCTCCATCATACGGTGTTTATATATCCCAACTCGTTCGTTATGCCCGTGTGTGTAGTGATGTCATAGATTTTAACGAACGTAATCAATGCATCACTGGTAAATTATTAAGTCAGGGATTTCGTTACCATAAATAACGTAAAACTTTTGCTAAGTTCTTCATAGATACAAAGTTTGATTAGTAAATTTGGCTGTACCTGTAGAAAACTGATTAAAAACGGTATTTCACATCCTAAATTTTACGGTAATATTGTACTTAAAGCGCGGAAATCACTATGTGATCCGTGTAAACTCATCGAACCTTTAAACAAACTTATTAGTAAAGGTTATCTTACCAATGTTGTAATTAGATCTTTGAATATAGTTTACATTGGCACTAATATCGATTTTGTCATCAGCAAATTAAAACATAACTAAATTTGTATTCTTTTCAAACGGGATGTATAAAGACACACCCACGTTGATTTTAGTCTCTGATGCATGATTTTTTATTATTAATTGTTTTTGGCTTTTAACTAGCTGTCAGTAACTGCGAGTACTCTCAAATCGTACTTTCTTGTTTATTTGACCTGTTGATACTAATTGTAATGCTTTTTTGTTATTTAATGTTATTCAGGGTTATATCTGGTCTATATACAAGCTTTGATAAGTGTTTGGTATTACTATAAATTTTCACTTCTTCGTACTATGAACATCAAAATTATCTATTTGTAAAAAAAAAATTTTCTCCATTTGAACTGTACACGTATACCTAACAACAAAATTATTTTCATTTACCTGTGTTTAAAGTAATTGCAAATGGCTGATATTTTTGTTCAAGCATATTGTTTTTCTTAAATTGTTTAACATTTCACAGCGGTATAACATGTTACTTTAATTATTCTTCCCTTAGTTTATTTATTTTGTATTTACATTGTATCATAGATCAAATTTATTTGTTCAGTGTATGTTCACTGGTGTTAATATGTCTTTTGATTGAGTTAAGCCATTTCAATTGATATTTTATAGTGTGCCTTTCTATGTTGTGATGTTACACTATTGTTTCAGATAAGGGTGAAGGTTTGGTACCATTAAAACGTTTAAACCCGTTGCAGTTGTTTGGACCTGTCCTAAGTCAGGAATCTGATGTTCAGTAGTTGTCGTTTGTTGATGTGGTTCATAAGTGTTTCTCGTTTCTCGTTTTTTATATTATAGATTAGACCGTCGGTTTTCTCATTTGAATGGTTTTACACTAGTAATTTTTGGGGCCCTTTATAGCTTGCTGTTCGGTGTGAGCCAAGGCTCCGTGTTGAAGACCGTACTTTGACCTATAATGGTTTACTTTTATAAATTTTGACTTGGATGGAGAGTTGTCTCATTGGCACTCATGCCACATCTTCTTATATCTAAAAAAATCACGTGTATTAATGATGACATGCTTTTATTAGAACATACTCACCCATTCTCGTCCAATGAAAAATCAGTATTTTCACTTCTATTTTTCATAGTACATGGCTTTAATGCACTATAAAATGCTATACATGAATTACTTTTCATTATAGGTTAATTATGAAAGTGAACTCTTAAAAACTCCACTAACGAAGTGTACAATACCCCTAGGCAATTTCCAAAGGAAAAGAGCACAAAAAATCATGAGTACTGTTGTTTGTCTAATTATTATAAATGAAATCGGGATTATAGAACTACAAAACTATAAAAGAATTTTAAGTTGAGATGTTAACATTGAAAATGTTATTTAATGGTACATATAAAGAGCCTCCCCCGACACACAAAAAGAATTGAAAAGGGGGGAAAGGTGTGGGTAAAATACATGTAATATTCAATCTAAATTCTATACGAGACCTTTAAATCAATGTTTTAAGAATCAATGACTGTTGATCAAAAATAAAACAAACATCTAAGGTTGAAACGATTGTAAATTACAATTCATTGATGAAGTGTTTTTTTTCATTATTAAAAATTTTACAATTTAAGAAAAGCTGATTTATATAACATTTTTAAAATTTATGAATTTTAGATATATTATACAAATATATCATGCTTACAAGGGGTATTTGCCAAAAATACCGGTTGAGAGGTACAAATTTCCAGAGCCGTTAGGCGAGGGAAATTTGATTACCTCGAAACCGGTATTTTTGGCAAATACCCCTTGAAACATGATATAATTGTTTAATTCCACCGAATGTTCTTTGTATCCATCTTGACCTCAGAAAGTTTATTGTAATCAGGTATCATATGGGGTTTCTACTTGAAAGTATAATTTTTGTATATACTGCAGCTGTGCTATTTGCGCAGTCAAAAAAATGATTTACATCCCTTTTACTAACCATGTTAAGATTTTAAGTGAGTTAATATCAAAATTTGATTATAACAATTACAAGCTAATTTTGTTATGTCACTCGAAGGTGTGAATATGTTCTAAATTGGTCAGACAATACTTTGTCGTGTTTTATTAACATTTAGAATATAGCAAAGTGCACTTGGCCAATGAAATTGCAGGATTTGGTGTTTCTTAATTGTGAAGAATGAAGGAAATCATGTTCTTAGTCAGGGATTTTCCTATTTTTTAGGCCTACTTACTAACGCTCGTACTTAATCATGAAGAAAGGGATTATCATTCTCTTAGTCTAGGTAAGTCTATACTATGAAAATTAGAGCGAGGGGCTTGCCCCGAGCTCTTAATTTCATAGTATATACCTTTTCATAGACTATCCAATTTAGCACGTATTTACAACTCGAGTAATCTTTTAATTGGTCTATTGATAGTTTATTTTGGCTGACTACTTGTATCACAGGTTTTTGTAAAACGCAGCTCATTAACGAAGTTTTGTAAATCTACTCACTAGTATCAATGTAAAATATGTGATTTCAAAAGGCCTTTGACTCCAGAATGAAAAGATGGTAACTGCTGGTGTAAGTATATTTATTGGTATAAAGCGTTGTTTTATTATACATGTACTTCTTTACATGGTAAGATGACAAAATAAATTGACCAAAAGCAGGCAATAATTAAAATTAATTGCAGTGGAAGCTTTAAATGTCTTGAAAACATTTTTCAATTTCACAGTAAAACTAAAGCTATAACAAATTTGAAACATATATATAGTATGCAGTGGCGGATCCAGGAAGGGGGTTCCGGGGGTTGGAAAACCCCCTTTTTTGGACGATCAATGCTTTTGAATGGGGACGTATGGTTGGAACCCCCCCTTATCCTGGGTTGGAAACCCCTTTTAAAAATGGCTGGATCCGCCCCTGGTATGTCCCTATATATGGTCTAGTAGATAGTCATTAAAAAGCAACTACCAATAGATCAAAGATACTAGGGTTTATGTTTTTTTCCCGAAGTAAAAGCTAAAAGATGTATCAGAACATGTATATACATATATATATAGGTGGCACGGAAAGAGTTCCATATGACATTCCCACGGAATAAACTGTAATACATTATTGTGTTCTTTTAGTATGGTGGGGGTGCCATATGGAACTCTTAACGGTGGCACATTATCTTCAGACATTATTACGGTTTTTTTTTTAATTCATGACATCGTCCTGGACATTAAGCAACCAATAATCAACCAATCAATCAATTCATGACGAAATAGATCAAGTTGCCTTAATTTCCCTTCATAAGGTTTCATAATACACACTTTTTTTGTGTACAAAGTAATTTCATGGATGATAAATCATCATAATTTTAAGATGGCTTTGTTCTCTAATCAAGGTATAAAGAACCATATTTTTACTCTTTATTTTAATGAAA